CAATGGTAGAACATATTGAATACACTTTTGTTAGTGCATATTGATATGTGTTCTGCATTTGTATAAACATAAGGTCATAAGGTTGGTACTCCAAAGCTGAGTTCATTGCACATTGCTTGAGCCTTGCTGTGCACTGTCTAGGCCCCCTTGGCTCCTGCCGGTCTCGGGCGGCTTCGGTAAAGCAGATGTGGGAATGCGGGGGGCACCTCCTTTAAAAAAGCCTTTATTGGCTCTGACACACTTAGCATGAAATAAATAAAACAAGCAGGAGCAAGGGAGCAGGAGCACCTCAGGTAGCGACCACAAATGCATGTGTATGTATACACATCTGTGAGTTATGGTGTTTGAATCTCGGGTCTACCTTAGACATGGGCCTAAGCCCACACGTATTCTTTTCCTATTAGAAATGTGTAATGCTGTTCACTGAAGACCCCTCCCTTTTCTTTGGAGTATCTACTTTTTACAGTGGAGTCCATCAAAACACTGACTTAGACTTTCACGCTACTTGTCACCTTTGAGGATGGCATGGCTAGCCAGCTGTATTTTGGGCAACCTGGTAGCTGTCCCCCATTGTCGTTCCCTGGCCTGCACCATGTCACCAGCAATGCTGGCGAGATTCTGAAAATGTTCCTAGCATGAGCTCTAATAGCCCTGGAGAGCATTTGATGATTTTGCTGTTTGCGTGTTTGAAAGGGCAGCCTTATTGTATCATTTCCTGCTCAATCATCATTAGCAATAATATCTGCTTACTGTTTAGAAAATAACTTTTATCTAATTTTGAAAGGAATACGCACATACAATATACTGCTAATGTATTAATTTCCTTCTAGTCTTTTTTTCTTTGGTCTCATTGACTAGGTTACTTTTGTTAGTGCCTTAAAAGAATTGATAGTACACACTGTTCTTTTGAGCACCTCTTCCCCCAACAATTCTTAGTCACTCTGGTTGGTAAATACTGGTTCTCTCCCAACTCGCAAATGCCTAGCATAGAATTGCCTAGTTGGAGTTTGGCTCTTTTCAAGGCTGTAGAATTTGGTAGTGTGTTTCCCAGAGCCGCACTGTATCGGTTGCCTATATTTGGCTAGGTTGAGTCATGTCACCAAATATAGCCTGTGCCTTCTGCATGATGTATGCCAGGCTCCTGGCTCCAATGCCACAGCTGGCCTCCAGGACTGACTCTGCTGTGCCCTTTAAGATTGGGCCTGCTGACCAGGCAGTATTTCTTTCTATTTGTAACACAATCAATACCAAGGTGATTCAGAGATTGCTTTCTTTACCAAATAGGTTCACTTGTATGAAATCCTAATGCCCTCTTCTCCCTTAGGAATTAAATTCTAAATGTGCCCAAACCTGAGTTATGTTTATAGATAGGATGTATTATAACAAATAACAACTGCCCTCGCTGGTTTGGCTTAGTAGAGAGAGAGTTGGCCTGTGGACTGAAGGGTCCCGGGTTCAATTCCGGTCAAGGACACATGCCTGGGTTGTGGGCTCGATCCCCAGTGGGGGGCCTGCAGGAGGCAGCCGATCAATGATTCTCTCTCATCATTGATGTTTCTATCTTTCCCTCCCTCTCCCTTCCTCTCTGAAATCCATAAAAATAAAAAAAATAGCAACAACAAAACAAAAACCACATCCACTGGGTTGTATTTATATTTAGATAGAGCAATTACGTTTACTTTGCTTTACTCGGTTGTGAAACGCTGGACTGTTAGTCACAGAATGCTTGCCTGGTACCCCCACAGGAAACTCTCCGTGCTAGTTAAAAAGGCTCTGGTTCCTGAAGGGGTTATTATGTAAGAGAGATAAGAAAGCCAGTAGCTGAAATAATTACCTAAGAAGGTTGGCTGGGGCAGCAGAGCTAGAAATAAAATTTGGCAAGCTGATCTAAAAAGGGGGTTTCCTTTTTGGGAATGGTGCCCTGAAAGAAAGGTGAATCTGAAAGAAAAAAAAAAAAAGGACTTGCGAAATAGCCTTCAGAAGGAGGGGATTGTGGGTAATGTAGCGTGGAATAGAAAATGCAGAAGTGCCCGTGTATATTGGCGTCCACAGAGCGGAGGATGTTAAAGCAGAGGGAGCGTGTGAAAGGCTCGGGGAAGCCTGAAAGACCTCCAGTGGGAGCTCCGGGCAGGCTTCCAGAAAGAAACTGCTAGCTATCATCTCCGATGGAGGTCAAGAACGGGTGGCTGGAGATATTTAATTATAGAAAGAATTTGCAGGAGGATAGGGCAGACAGGTTAGGGAAGCATTAAGAAGCGTTAAAAAAATTCTATCACTGCTTATATTTTTTAAATTGAAGTAGAAAGCATTACCTATTACTGGTTGTTTAACAAAATGTCCCAGATGTATTTGCTACTCAGAGGTCAACATTGATTCCATCCTGACCAGGTCAAAAATTAAAAACAAGGATCAGCTTTCAGAGTTAAACTCTGCCCCGTGCCAGTGGCTCTGCAGGGCCCTATTGTGTAGCTGCAGGCTAGAATGTCTGGAGTCAGACCTCTCAGGGGCAGGCGAAACATCAAAGGCGCCCTGGGAGGTGTGCTCGCTGTGAGAGCTGAGTGAAGGGTCCCTCGGAGCCCATCAAGCTGAAAGAGCCCTCTCCCTTTCCTTAAAGTCACTCCAAGGTGAGCTTCTGGTGAGGCGGAGCTGGGTTCTGAAACTGGGCCGGCCTGTCGGTCATTTGTCTCCCTGGTGCTCGTCCTTGCCTGCATCCAGGAAGAGGCATCGGAGTTCATGTGCCACAGCCAGACTTCAGCTGGAATGCTGGCATCTGAAATATTCCAATATCTGAATATCCTCTTGGAAACAACAAAGCATTTCCTCTTCACTCCGGTTACTGAAGTTACATAAGTGTCTGTGTTAACTTACATCATCTTTTTACAGAATGTTTTAAGACAAATAAAAATGGCACGTGTGACGGCTCTGTGAGTTCAATACCCGAGGGTGCTCCAGTGACAAGTGTGTGCTGTGCTCCGTTATAGAGAGTCACGTGATTCTGAAACAGCTCCCCCCTTCCCAGGTTTTTAACCAACAAGGGTCATGTTTTTGTTCCAGCATCTGGAGTCTGTGCTTTTTTAAAAGCGCTGTGACAGGGCAGAAGATGCGGGCTGATAGTCCAGCAGTGCAGGTGGAATTCCAGTGGGGCTGGATACTGAGCTGTGTGATTAGTATCAAACTACGAAGCCAGCTTTTAGGAATAAATTGATATGTTATTTCGTACCTTCTCCCTCTTTCTCTCCACCCCTTCCTCCACTCCCTTAATAGGGACAAGCTGAAATTTTAATAGAGCAATTAACAACTTAATAACAGTAAAAACAATCCTCGTATTTGATTGGAAATTGCAGGAGAATTGTTAAGTTCAGATTTTGTTCCATATTAGATTCTCAGGTTTTGGATATGGATTAGCTGAAGCTATTAACCGTGGAGAACAATGTTCTCCTTTCACGGCGTGAGTTCATTTCTGTGGAGCCTTTCAGAGCAGCAGGGTCTTGAGAGTTGAAGGCGGGTCAAGGCCTGCCACTCCTCTCTGGAGCTGTGGACGCGGCTGTTGGACCAGGGGCCTGCAGCTTAGCTCTGGTCTGCGCAGCACTCGGAGCCGGGGAGTCTTCCTGGCGTGTTGGCAGGCTTGCCCCTTGGTTCTCCCTCTGCTCACCCCTTTTCCATGGCCTCGAAGTCTCCTATGGTTCTGTGGGGTCAGAGGAGCCTGCTGTTCGCTGTGGAACAGCTGTAATTCAGAGTCAGTTTTAAATTCTCACACTGCTCCTCATCTCCACAGGGCTGGGCTGGGCGGTGGCAGCTACTTAGTGAATAGTCAGGTTCCCCTGGCCATTCCTATGAGTGAGACCTTGTTGAGAGCTCTCCACCCCTCTTATGGAGGTGGGTGGAGAAGGGCAGTGGAACACGGAGACTTGGAAATGTTGCCATAATGGTTTTTATCACGAATAGCGCAGAATTAGGAACATGGTGTTCATACAGTAAGGATTTGTGGTCTAGATACCTCAACTTACATGTAGAAATTCTCCCCTCACAGAAATAGAATTCCATGCCCAGACAGTGTAGTTCAGTGGTTGCACAGGAGGTTCACATTGATTCCTGGTCAGGGCACAGGCCAGGGTTGCTGGCAGTAGGGGTTGTGCAGGAGGCAGCCAATCAATGATTCTCTCTCATCATTGATGTTTCTATCACTCCCTCCCTCTCCCTTTCTCTCTGAAATCAATAAAATAAAATAAATAGAATTCCTTATAAAGGGAGAAACCATTTCCAGTGCCATCCTCCCTTTATTTGGGGTTACCAATATAGAAGTTGGTTCATCCTCCAAAAATGTTAGCACCTTCACAAATTTTTTGATGGGCATCGTGGGTGTCTTTTTTAAAAATTCAAGGGAAACTAACCCAGCATTTTTTGAGTGCCTGCTGTGCTCTGGGCATTGTGCTGTGTGTTGTGTGCTTTGCTGTTTTCTGTCACATGTAAATACAATATGTTTTTTGTGGGGTTTTTTTTTTTTTTTACCTCTGTACTGATTCTCAAAATGCAAATTTAAACACATTAGCATATCTGTACATGTAGGCATAAGCCTGGCACTTTTGTTCTAAATTATAGAAAAATATCACTGCTAATTACATACTTCTAAAAAGCAACAAAAAACTATATATTTGAATTTTTTCGCATGTGTAGGGCTAAAAATGTGAAGATTGTTATTATGAACTGGTATCAGACCATAATGGTAAAAAGAAAATTAGTTTGCATAGGGATTTAGAAGTTAGAATGATCGAATAACTTTCCTACTTTCAGACTTTCCCATTTTGAATGTTTGTCAATGTGCTGATTGGTATGTCCTTTGACTCATTGTGGTTATTAGCACAACGAAGTTTTATCCCAAATACAGTGTTGTTTTTTTTAATACCTTATCTATTAAAACAAGCAATTCAGTTTTGTTATTGCATACGCTTAAACCATCCATGAAGAAAATCAACTTAGTAACGGCCTTCTTTTACCTTCAGGTCGTCTAAACTATTCATATCCAGGATCCGATAGCTCTCTGCTTATTAATGGTAAGTGATAACCGATTTACCAGAGTGAAGTTCATAGACTGAAACCAGCTAGTATAGGTGAAAAAATGTAGTAATTGTGCTTCAGCCAATAGAGAGATGGCATTAGTTTGTTCTGTAATGACAATTGAACATTGCTATTAGTCTATCGGGTATTTTATGAACAATTTCTTTTCCTCCAAATCGTGGCAAGACCTTTTGAAACTTTGAGAGCCAACTGCTCCTCTGTCTTGAAATTGGTCACAATGAGAATTATATAAGGACACAAAAAGGATGGCTTAATCTAACTTGAGCTTCGGTCGAGTGACCTTTGAAATGTCAACATAAAAACCATCTCCATGTAGCTGGAGAAACGTTCCAGGATAATCAGAGATCTGAAACCAGGAAGAGCTGCCTGAGACCGCAGGGGTTGACATTGCAAAGGACAAGGTCATTCACTGCTTGCTGTCTAATTGGAACAAGAGAAATGAAGTTGTATGGCCTTGGCAGTGTCTTCAATAGCCAAGTAGATTACAATTCTAAATATTGCCCTTGTGCTGTGGCATTCTGTTTTTATGAGCTTATGCTGAAACAAACTAGATTTCACAGGGAAGGAGGAGACATGTAGGTGCAGAAGGAACTAAAGAATCAAAAATAGTCTGTTTGGTCGTGCTGTAAGTTAAAGTAATTGGGTGGAATATAGGGGTCTTATTTACTTCTTTTACTCATTTACTGTGGAGTGGACTTCAAACGTGTGTGTTCATTTTGCTTTCCATTTGTCAAAACTCACTTTATGTCCCACCACCTCTAAGAAGTCTTCTTGACTAAATAGCTGTATTTTCATCATTCCAAAAACAAAGCACACACACAAAGCTTCTACTCCTTGTCTCCGGCCTCCTGTGCATGGGGAATTGAAAGTGATCTTTATGACCGGACCTCCTCTTGGCTAGTGTTGGAAGTGAGGGTTCTGAAGGACCAAGAAAAGTGAGGAGATTTGATTTATGAGAGTGGCTGCGGGCGCATCAGATCCTCTGGAGACATGCGGTTTATAAAAACCTCACTTGTTCACCCGACTTTGGTCTTTTCCTGCTATCACTGCCAGAAATAAGGCCAAAATATAAGATTTCAGCATAAATGTGTGTGGACTGGAAACAAAGCCCAGCGGTGATGGTGGCATCAGGATAAGGGGACGGTGGAAAGGCTGCCTTCGTGGCTTTCCCTGGGAACGAGCTGCAGAGTCGGGGCTGCAGGATGGAGGGCACCGTGACCCAGGTCTGAGGCTCTGCTGTGTGATCTCAGACAAAGTGATCGATTCTTCTTTGTCCCTGTCTCCGCATGCGGCCACTAAATTAGATCAGTCGCCCTGGTCCATCTTTGTTGAAGTGAGAAAAATAAACACTCTCTAGTGGGTTGTCCTTAAAGCTTAATTCACTTATTTTTTTTAAAAAAATGTCTCTTATGAGACTGTTTTTTTTTTTTTCTTTCCTTCCTGCCCCCGTAAATATTTCTGCTCTTATGAATAGATCATTTTTAATGACCCTTACTTGGCAAAGAAAAAAATAAAGGTAACCTTTTCCCAAAAAGGTTTATTTTGAAATTTTACTAGAAGGGGACTAGATGTTTTTTACCATTGTGTACATGGAACTTGTATTTATTATAAGGGCATACAGGCTGAGGTTCACACCGCGTAAACTGAAAGATAGGAAAATAAAGAAAGAATAAAGAGGTCAAAGAGACGTGCTGGCTGCTCAGACAGGACCCCAGAGGGTGAGTTATGCCTGTCGTGGGCTCAGACCTAGAATTGTGATTCAGGGCTTCAGAACTTGATTTTGTCTGAGTTGATCAAGTGTTAGTTCCTAGTAACCAACTGACAAGGACCAGATATCAATGTATGCATTTGTAATGGGGAATTACCCTTCTAGGAGGACCAGATGTGGGTGGACTGATAGACTTATTTCTCTTCAGTAGCAAAGTAGATTATAATGGAAGATGGATGAACAATTATGAAATTATAATGAGTTGGAGGCGGAGGGGTGTTGAGACAGTTTCTTAGTCACTTTGATTTAGGCATAGGCATAGTCTAGTCTCTTCAATCAAATTTATGAAACATCTAGGGTGGGCTGCTTCTCTAGATAGATTGATCTCATTCATGTATTGATTCTTAGGAGCTTTGTTCTCATTTTAGCTAAGGTTTTGGGAGCACACATATTGCAAATCCGCTGTAATACATTGATTAAATGCATGTAAATCAATAGCAGAGCACCTGGCATGTAGTAAAATTAAAATATTTAGAGTGTTACTTTTTGGTTAGGAATATTAGAGTTAAAAGATTTATAAGGGGAAAAAATACAAGGGATTAAGAATATATAAAAACTGTGGCTGAACATGTTTTCTATGTCTATTGTTAATGTAGATAACCTAAAACTTACTATATTCACTTTTAAAAGCAATCTCTTTGCATCTTAATTCATTTTCGGTTTATAACTGGAAAACCAGAGAAGGTCGGACCTGCATCGCCACCATCTGTCCATCATCCAGATATCATTGCTGACATGTACACATAAGGAACTGTTTGACATTGGAACTGGGTCTCAGAACTGTTGGGCACTGAAAATGGGACTGAAATGTTTTTTGTTATTATATGTTTATTTCTAGTCTGCAGTTGCAAGATTTTTCAAAGACAAGAAATGGGGAAAAATAGTTACAGAGATAAAGAGCCATTGAACAGACTGTCAAACTATAGTGGGAAGGCAAGGGAGGCTGGGGAGGGGCCTGTAAGAGATCAACCGAAGGACTTGTACGCATGCATATGAACATAACCAATGGACACAAGACATGGACTTGTACGCATGCATATGAACATAACCAATGGACACAAGACACGGGGAGGGGGGAAGGGAAGTGAAGGCATATTTCGGGGGGATAGGGGAAGCTACGGGGAGGTCAAGGGGGGGGAAAAGGAGACATAGCTACTACTATTTGTAATCCTTCAAAAAAAAAGTAAAAATGAAAAAAAAAAGAAAAGCTTAATACATCGTGTTGTTTTATATTCATTATTCAGTTTTAAGTCTTTAGGAACTGTAGGGAGCTCCCTATCCACAATAAATAGTCTATTCCGGCTTTAAAGGCCTGTATATGTAGCCACTCGCCTGTTCAGCGGTAACTTCCCGAGCTTTTCTTCCAAGCCTCTCTGAGCTGAAAGCCATTTCTTGTTTGGTTTGGATAAAATTGTCTAAGAGCTGTTTATTCTCTTTCTCTCATGAGCATTTGAATTTTAACTATGGTAATTATTGTAGAACTTGTTTAGAAATTTTCAAGTAATCTCAAAGCTTTTGGAGAAACATGGGGTTTCCATCCTAAATAAGTAATAAGAGGAGAGATTCAGAGTAACCGCCCAGCTTCCACCGTCCGGATGGGAAGGACACTGGAGTTTGCACATACAGATAAAAAGGGCTCACTCAGCCAGTGGTGAATCACTGTCATCGGGGTTATTTTTCCATTCTCAGTCATCAGTTCATCCATTTTCACACTATGCAGTGGCCTTCATATACTACCCATGTCTGTTAAAGGTATTGCCAGTATAATTCAACAAATAATAATTGATAACTGTGCAAAGAATGCTGTAGTGCACATCCTAGGGGAGTATTCAATGTATTGCTGGGTTATTCGTTATATTTTTTTTTGAGAGGGAATCCTTGGGTTCTAAATATATATTAAAAAAATACACGTTTTCTAGCTACTTTTTGGATACATATTAGTTTGCCAGAGCCGCCATAACAAGTACCAGGCTTACGCAGGAATTTCTTCTCAGCACCACAGCCTAGAAGTCTGAGTTTATTTCTTTTGAGGCCTCTTTCCTTGGCTGGTAGACAGCTGTCTTCTCTCTATGTTTGCATGACTTTCCTCTGCTGGTCTGTGTCCTAATATCTTACATACATATTGGAATAGGGCCCACCATTGCCTTCACCGCACCATTTAGAACATTCTTGAATCATGTTAGTACTAAACGTTAAATTATTGAGGACTTTGTAAATCAAAACTAAGAAATAAAAATCAAAGTAGATAAACATATAAATGGTATTCCTTTTAACCCCGGTGGGGACTAGAAGATTTTTATTTAATAATAGCATGCATTTTTTAAAATCTTTTAATAGTGTACTCTTAAACATATTTAAAGTAATTTTTTTTACTTGCTACTTCCTTGGATGTTTGAGAAGCATAAAAAATATGCAACAGTTGATAATCATGAGATTGGAAATCTGTCTGGCAAGACAGGTTCCTCAGGAAAGTGTGAGGATCTGCCTGTTACAAGCATTTCATCGTAATGTGTTTGCACCCAGTCCGCTTTGCAGCTGGTGAGGAAAATGTGCTGCATGCGTCTTTCCTCCATGAGGTGAAGTGACACATTGTCCATCCTGTCCGTGTCTGGGTTCTGGTTGCACACGTGTGTTCACGTTATAGAAATCTTATCGATCTGGACATTTATGATTTGTGCACATGTGTTCCCCTTTGTATGTCACATGTCAACATCTACATTAAAAATAGCGTATAGTGTTAACAGCATTAAAAGTAGAACTCAGATATTTAAACATTCATTTTCTGTTTTCTAGAATGGCATTGTTTTTATTATTTTGGTACTCATTTATATTCATTTCCCTATTTGAATGGACAGTTTTTATTCTAATTATAAATATTGTATGCCAATAACGTATTTTCCCTTAATGTGGGAAAATGTTTCTAAATAGTTTTCAGGATTTAATATCAGCATTTAAGCAGCTTAATTTTGTGGTACAAAAAGTACCATTTGAATATTAAAAGTACCATTTGAATACTTAGAGTGTTTGAATTTGCTTTTGATCTGTAGCTTTATTGTTCCTGAAACTATATTTATTTTTTATATAATGGAAGCTATGAGATTTTAATGTTAGTTTTGTAGCTTTTAAAAGCCTATACTTTTCAGATATATTTTCTCAGAAATCCAAGCAACACCAGTTAACTTTTTGAGATCAACAGAAGCCAAGTTTTCAAATCATTAGTTTCCCCAAACTCCCATGCAGTTAGTTGTATGAATAAGATGTTTTTGGACAGGCATCTGCTTTTGTGCTGTCTTTGTCTTTCCGGCCTCCGTCAGGCTGACAAAGTAAGACTATCTTACCCTTCTCCAAACAAAGGCCTTGTAAAGGACAACCTCGCCGCAGAGAGAGATTTTATGCTGTTTTAGTCATTTGTCCAAGTACTTCGGTGTAATCCAGTGTTTTCTAGTAATGGTAGAAATGTATTTTGCTTAAGACATAATTCCATTTTGGAGAAGATGCATGTGGCACCTCTGAGTTACACTTCTCACTCAGTTATAACTGAGCTATCCCCTTCCTCATGTGTGAACCTCATCTCCAGCCCAGATTCCCCTTGCTCAGCAATCTGCTTTTGTTCTGGGCATCTTCCCTGAGCATCGCAGCACCCTGTCTGCACCACCACTGCCCTGCAATGCCTTGCTCTGATTTTCTTGTAAGGTCCATCTCAAATGCTATTCACTCCTCTCTCTGCCCCTGAAACCAAGACAAATTTTCACCCTAGCCAGTCTGGCTCAGTGGTTAGAGCATCGGCCTGTGGACCGAAGGGGTTACAGGTTCGATTCCGGTCAAGGCTACATACCTCGGTTGCAGACTCCTCCCCAGCCCAGGCCCTCATTGGGGCATGTGCAGGAGGCAATCAGTCAATGTGTTTCTCTGACATCAGTATTTCTCTCTGTCTTTCCCTCTCCCACTCTCTAAAAATCAATGGAAAAATATCCTCGGGGAGGATTAAAAAACAACAATTGTTCCTCCCTGGTTTGTTCCCATTGCACCTGTCACCTAACTACTATAGCAGATAGGCACATGATATTCTCGATGTTTACTTACGTAGCCATGGAGTCAGGGCTGGGTGTGCTTACCCACCGTGCCCAGCAATGTGAGCATTCAAGAAACATTTGTTGAATAAAACTGAGGCATTTATACAGGCTGGGCTTATAAATGCCAGTTTTTTTCAGGGAAGGCATTTTCTCAAAAGTTTTCTGATTTAAAGTTCATTTTGCCATTACCTGAGTATTCAGGGAAATACATATAATTATATGAATATATGGCTCTTCTTGGCTGCCGCCTGCTTGTTGATAAAATGCCAAACTTTATACTTTTAAAAAATATATTTTATTGATTTTTATTTTTTTTTACAGGGAGGAAGGGAGAGGGATAGAGAGTTAGAAACATCGATGAGAGAGAAACATCGATCAGTTGCCTCCTGCACACCCCCTTCTGGGGATGTGCCTGCAACCAAGATACATGCCCTTGACTGGAATCGAACCTGGGACCCTTCAGTCCGCAGGCCAACGCTCTATCCACTGAGCCAAGCCAGTTAGGGCCAAACTTTGTACTTTTCAACATTTGAAGCATAGTGGAAGGTTTGATTAGGGTCAAGAAACATTTGACCAAAAGGAAGTTTATAAATTGCCTAAAGATTTCATTCATTATGGTATTCTTTATTAGGGATTAATTGAGAGTAGTATGCAATTGCTATTTCTCCTGTCATGGTGAAATAGCCAAGAATTAAATTTTGTGGTATTCATTAAATCGCTAGTTAGCAAGGAATTTTGAGAGAAAATAAGATTAATATGGCAGTTGGTTTAGGTCATGTGACATAATCCTTTAGTTTCATACTAGTTTGGACCTTGAGTGACAATTACAACAAAAAGCTTCCCTTAAAACAAGTGTCCTTGAAGAACTTAATAAAATATAAGATTGATCTCTCACTATCCAGATCCTTTGTTTTTGAGACAAAATTATATATAGCCAATCTTTTTCAATTATAATGCTCGTAGATGAAATCACAGTTGATCCTTTTGACAATGTTTGAAAGGTTGTGTGTGTTTTTTTTCTCATTGACATGCAGCAAGGACATATGGGAGAAGGAGAGGTAACATACTGTTTCTAACTTCTGAATGTACACTTGTCTTTGGAGAGGGTCCAAGTCTGCTCATTTCTAACCTCATGGGGCAGCGGGCGGGGGAATGAAGCCTAGGCTTGATTCATACATTATTCATTGTAGTTAACATTATAGACATTCTCATTTTTAAGGAGTCAAAAGGTAGAATTTAGATTTGAACCAAAAATAATTTCCCTATATTATACTATAAACCCAACTTATTTCTATCTAAAGATTTGTTTGTTTGTTTTTTCTTTCTAAATGGAATTTCTTAGGAGAAAAAAGTTAAGACTCTTTAAAAAGGAAATTACAGCCCAAATCATCTCAAAATACCTGAACATATTAGAAGTTCAATTATACTTGAATACCTGGTCTACTTTTGCTTAACCAAGTCAGCAAAACGCATTAGGTTTGAAAGGAGATTAGCTATATAAATAGCTAATCCTATGCATTTGAAACATTGGGGAAAGCTCTAGAAATTTTAGACAATTTTAGAGTCAGCTCCACTTCAAAATGTGATTTTTGAAGATCGTTCAGGAAATGGCCTCCAAGTTTTTAGCCTCCATTATAGAAGTCTTTGAGCTGTGATTTTACAGGATAACAATACATGGTCATTATTTGTGTTCAGCGGTGAAGGTTGGCAGGAGGAGCAGTGTGGCAGCCAAAGGCCATGGGAATGTTTTTGAGGAGGAAGAGCACTTGAGAGCATTTCTGCGGGACCCTTAACGAGTTCCTGGTGCAGGACCTCACGTGACTGGCCTGCGCGCTGGCCAGGGCTGGGGATGCCGCACGCCCTGGTAGCTGTGTTTTGCTCATGATTTCAAAGTTTGAATTTTGCTGTCAGGTCAATATGGGAAGAATACAAACACTTGCCATCCCTGGTCTTTTCTGCTTATGTATTTTAGATGATTTAACTTTCAACATCAAACTTAATGACTAGTTTTTAGAATTAGATAGCACTGTAGCAGATTATTACTCAACTGAAAGAACATATGTCTTTAGCAGGCCTCAAAATCTGAAATTCTCTTAGGCCAGACAGTGGAGTCAGAGAATAGCATTTAATGGGTTTAGTTGTATCCCAGTAGTTAATGTAACTAAGATGAGCGCTCACCTTAAAAATCAGCACGTCCATTTTAAGGACGTTCCTAGAGGAGTTGTGCAGGCCATGTTAGTGTTGTTTTCTTTCAAGTTTGAGTGATGTCGCAGCTGACAGTCGAATCTAACACTCAGGGCACATGTCTAGGTTGCCAGTGGCATGGGGCCCTGCCAAGGCTCTGCTGTGCGCTGCCAACTGCTTTCAGAGGCGCGCGCTCTCCTGTGCTTCCGCCCGCCCCACTGGAGTTTCTGGGCCCCAGAGGGATAGCTGGGCAGCCCTCTGTTTAACCTGTCCTTTCTCTCTGGCTCAGTGGGGACTTGGAGGTGTTGGGAGTTCAAGAGCAGATCGCAGTGGCGCCATTGGTTGTTCAGTGGGAAAACGAAGAGCCGCAGCCTTATTCAATCAGCTGCTGGCCTTGTTGGCTGTGCGAGATCACCCGCGGCCGCGGCCGTTCTCTGTCAGCTGTCTCCCGCTTTCTGTTCCAGGTCAGTCCTCCCTGTTTCCAATGGAAGATGGATTTCTGGATGACGGCCGCGGAGATCAGCCTCTTCACAGTGGCCTGGGCTCACCTCACTGCTTCACTCACCAGAACGGAGAAAGAGTGGAGCGCTATTCTCGCAAGGTGTTTGTGGGCGGACTGCCTCCTGACATCGACGAAGGTACATTTAGAAGAAGCATCCAGAGCCCAGGGCCCGGACTGTGGCACACAGTAGGACACTCATAGATAGAGGTTACTCTTAGGATAACAACAGTCTTACCTGGCTCCAGGTATTCCGATTGGATTGCATTCTTCTCTTTTCGTATCTTCCTGTCACAGCCTGTCACATCAGTTCCCAGAAGGAAGGGGGTGGGGGCAGGACTTTGGGAACCAGCAGAAGCAAAGGATGAGACTAAAGGAAAAGGAGCAGACATCGCGGAAAACTCAAGGATTCTGTTGTGGGAAGACATGAGTGCCAACTGCATTTCTGTCTGTGTGTGCTGCCTTGGCCAAATTCAGTGGTATATTTTCCAGAAGATGTAGGCTCTCATTGAGGTAGCTGGTGCAGGCTGGAGTCTTTAGTGCATGCCAGAGTTGATGAGGAGACGTAATGGTGGGTAACAACACCACGTTGGCAGAGATCAACTGGACCAGGTGATCAAGCTTCACATGCCCCGTTAGGACAGGGTGGGAATCCTGTTTAGAATGCACAGCATGCGTGTGGCCACGGGGAAACAGTGCAGACAGGTAGCATCATCTACACAGTAACTGGCCTGCGTGCTTTAGAACTGTCAAGCCCGTACAAGACAAGAAGGAATGAGGATCTGTTCCAAATGGAAGGAGATGATGCCTATGGGACATAATGTCCAAATACAGCATGTACTCTGGATCAGAAAGGAAAAGAGGGATGCTAATGGGATAAAGTCTGTGATGTGGGCATTCTGTCAGTGCCCACTTCCTGATCAGGAATGCTGTGAGGCAGGACCTAAGGAAGTGACCTTGTTAAGCCCGTCACAACTGATGCATTATGGGTTGTAGGGCATCATGCCAGAAAACGGTGATGGGTGGTAGGTAAGTGGGTAAAGAGCTTGACTTGTGTAGAGGCACAGGTAGGAGGAAGGGAAGAGGCCAGTGTGCACAATATGAGCGGCCGGAGAGTCTGGATGCAGGGATGTGGAGTTGTTTTTGTTTGTTTGTTTGTTTGGGGGGGGGGGTGTACTGCTCTGTAAATAGGAGATTTGAAACGTTTTTTTCTAAACTAATTCCCAAAAATGATCACAAAAATATTGAAATGTACTGTTCTGCTTTGTCGTTTATTAGATGAGATCACAGCTAGCTTCCGCCGCTTTGGCCCTTTAGTCGTGGATTGGCCCCATAAGGCAGAGAGCAAATCCTACTTCCCTCCGAAAGGTAACCCTCAGTGTTCAGCACGCACGTGCATCCTTTCATGTTTAATGTTTAGCATCTTCATATATGTTTACCCTCAGGGAAAAGTCTCCCGTTGTTAAGCTCCTATTTTCCCAAATGCATCTTTAAAATTTCCACCTAATATGTACTTTCAATTCAAATTTAATTTTACTCTAAAAGATGTTTCAAGATATCAAACTGGACTTAATGTTGATATTATCAGACTTTAGGTTAGGATATTGTTTTAATCAAAAAGAAATTGAACTCCTTTTCCCTTCGTTAGTTTTAGTTTATGTTTCCTTTCTCTTGAAGAACTGGGGAGAGAAGTTAGGAGAATGTCTAAGTCTTCCCCCCTTTGCCCCAGGCTATGCATTCCTGCTGTTTCAAGATGAGAGCTCCGTCCAGGCTCTCATCGATGCGTGTATTGAGGAGGATGGGAAGCTCTACCTGTGCGTGTCCAGCCCCACCATCAAAGACAAGCCAGTAAGTGCGGCCGGCATGGGATAGCTCTGGGTGTGCCTCCCTCTCTGCTCTGTTTGAAAGCCCACATTTGTAAGTAGACTGGGGATAGAGTGTGTTACCCTTGTTAAGCTCCCAACATTGACATTCTGTCTGCGTGTGCGTATTATCTGGCCATTGAACTTTTGAGTAATTAAAATATTGGTAAATCTTTGCTATTAAAAGACTTCACTTGATAATGCATTTGATAAAGTAGCCGAGTCTCCTCTGAATAATAGATTTAGCTTCTGACAGGCAATGAAATGTTCACCCTTGTTCAGGTCACTCTTAAAAGTGAAATGAAGGGTTAGGATACACTATTTTTTTTTAATCTTTTCTAGTTTTACAGCTTTATTGCTTTTAATGATGTGTATTCTACAACCATTTTAAACATTTCCCCCCACGAATTGTCTGTACCGAGAAAGAGACATTGGGTCTCCCCCCCCCCCCCCCCCCAGGTGCAGATCCGGCCTTGGAACCTCAGTGACAGTGACTTCGTGATGGATGGTTCGCAGCCCCTGGACCCACGGAAAACTATATTCGTCGGTGGTGTTCCTCGACCGTTGCGGGCAGGTATGATAAACAGAAAGTCCTTCCTCACCCGTTAGCATAGACTGTTTTATAAAGCTTTCTCAGGATAAATTCTCCCACAAGCGTTTGCGTTAATGTCCAAGAGGGAGAGTTCTGGAATCAAAATTCATGTGCTCTGCTCTCAGTTCATAGCTGAGTGACCTTGGACAGTGGCTTAATTTCTCTATTTCTCAATGCCCTCATCGGTCAGATGGTGCAGTAGGTGTATGTGCTTTACAGAGCGCTGTTTTGAGGCTTAAGTGAGATAGCCAATGCGGGATGCTTAGTGCAGTTTCTTATAATGTCATCATCATCGGAAAATAACGCCTTCAAGAGCAGATGCTGGATTGCGATGGTTAGTGTTTGGTTCCCATGTCCCCGTTTGCTTATCAGCTGCTGCTGGGCTCTGAAATGTAATACAGTTCTCGGCAGTGTATCATGTTTTTAGCATAGTACTAACAGGGGAAACTTCATCCCTGTCAACGCATTTGAGGTTGGGTAGTGTAAGCGCGATAGAGATCAGAAAATGAACAAGAATGCAGTTTCAGAACTGTAGCATGTAATGGAAAAAGCGATACATTCGTTATTTCAAGTTTTTAATAAGAGAAATTGGCAAACAGCTAGCCTGTGGGGAAAGGTCACAAGATTTTGATGGAAAAAGCCAGAAGGGCCTCTAAATAAAGAACTTACCAAATCAGTTTTCTAGTGTTGAAATGATTATTTACACTAAGCCAGACCTTGTTAGCCGGTAACTATATGGCAGCAGCATGATATAGACCAGTAGACCAGGTTGCTAAGCCCAGCAGTGTCACTCAACCTCCTGTGACCTTGGACTGGTGGATCACCTTCTCCATGCCTCAGTTTCCCTAAGAAGTTCCTGCCGGCTTCATAGGGTTGCTGTGGATATTAAAAGAGAACGTAAGTAAAGTACCTAGCAGAGCCCTGGCCCTTAGTTAGAAGATAAATGGACTAGTTATGATAATGCTTGATATGAACAATCATTATAATGACATGAGCTCAGAATGCAGATGAGCTGCTCTTGATGAAACCTTTGTTGAGCCAGCTGCGTTTGCCTGACTTCAGACCCCTCTCTGCGTCTTTCTCACTCAGTGGAGCTCGCCATGATCATGGACCGGCTGTACGGAGGCGTGTGCTACGCGGGGATCGATACGGACCCCGAGCTCAAGTACCCGAAGGGCGCCGGGCGGGTGGCCTTCTCTAACCAGCAGAGCTACATAGCTGCCATCAGCGCCCGCTTTGTGCAGCTGCAGCACGGCGAGATAGACAAACGGGTAAGTCCCAGACTGCATGCTGGAAAGATCCAGAAGCAGCCTTCTACATGTGTCACTGCCAAGACTGACAGGGGAATTTTATGTGACCATAAACTGGCAGCTGACAGTTATGCCTGTAGGACCTCTAGGTGTATGTTCTGTAACACATGTAGGAATTTCCTAGGAATTGCTCTGTATCCTTGTTTGAGTCGCCTACCCGGAACCCTGTATCAGTTTACTTGTCAATTCAATTTTTCCTAAGCTGTCACCTACATCCATCCACTCATTTCTTCAGTCAGTCAGTCAGTCAGTCAGTCAATATTTACCAAATCCTTCATTCACACTGTGTTTTAGCAAGTATACGGACATGAATGTCCATGAATGTCTCCTGACATGTTTCATTTCATCCTGGGACGTTGTGAAGACCTCAGTGAGCCCTGTTTTCCAGTGCGCTGTGTGACAGATGGTTAAGTTTACCTCCAGGCCTGCATGCGTTAGAGATACTTCATTATGACAGATTGAGCAGAAGAAGGCACAGCCTTCTCATCTGTGGCCTGTCCTGCCTGGAGCGAGGCAGGAGCGGCCAGCATTGTGTTCAGCACCTCACATTCCTCTCTGTGGGGCTTCTCTTCTGAATCGAAGGGCTGGAGAGAGCCTCAGAGACAGCTTTTCCCTCTGCTTCTCCATGGATTTGAAACGTTCCATTACGCATCTCACTTCCTCGACCCACAGATTCATTCCTTATCTCCGTATTCCATGCATTCAACAAATGGAGTCGTGCCAAGGACCAGATGTCCCTGTCCTCGGAGGCCATGCTCTGGTAGATAGGGTGGCCTGTGCCGACGGCAGTGGGCACGCAGTCTGTCCCAGTTTGAGCTGAGATAAGGGTGTGCACAGAGGTGAGGCGGCCGCAGCGGGAGCCGTGCTGAGTTCAGCGCCGTCCTCATAGTCAGACCCTGTGGATGAGGAGGAAACAAAGAGCTGATTTGCATTCATAAGGGCTCCTGGTCCCGGGCCAGACGGACCTTCCGAGGCCTGGCCGCGATGCCCAGCACTCTCGAGTCGGCGTGCGGAATCCACCAGGCAGGCTAGTGGTTTGCACAAACTGCTCGTGCCTCATGCCGTGTGTATTCTGTGTCAGAGGCAGCGCTGGTGAGGGTCATGGTGCCGTCACTGAGCCGCTTGCAGAGAACGCGCAGAGTCTGAGTGAGATGGAGGAGGGCAGTGTTAGCCACAGTGGACACGGACATGGCTCCTGCGTTTGATTCGCACTGAGCACGTCTGAGTAAACGGTCTCTGGCTGCACTGCCTCGTTCCAACACAGGCGTCAGAGCCGTGAGGTCACTCATTAGAAACAGACTTAATTTTCACTCCTCTGACCCAGAGCTCCCAGCGGAGCTCTTGCCCTCTGGAGAGTTCTGGAGAGTTCTGGAGCGGCCTCCCAGTGCCTGCCCCGTCTCCCCTGTCACCTTCTCCTGTTGGTCCGGCGCCGCTTTGCCAGAACTGGATGGCGCCGGTGTTAAGGGCAATCTGGTATAAGGCAGTTTCAGCCACGAGACAAGACTTAAACCAACCACGCCATTCCCCCTGGCGAGTTAATAGTCAGGTTATTTTTAATTCCGGAGGGCTCCGATGACAGGCGGCCTGCTGGACACCGGAGCAGGCCCAGTTCCTAAACGCACCTTTGGCTTCTGGCCTCAAGTAACCTTCCTGCTGCCTGGAGGACACCGGGCCTGTGAGGGAGGGAGCTGCGTGCGGGTTCCCGGAGTAGCAGCTTCGCAATTCTCATCAAGATGTGTGAGCCGGGAACAGAAGCCACAGCCAGGCCTGAGGGCCGCCATGGAAGTCAGGGTGTGACTTGTGGAGCGGGAAGCTCTTAGTTGGGTTTGTTTAAAGTGTAATTCCACATATAACGAACAGCCACTTCCACTCATTAAAATGCTGTGTGTGTCTGTGAGAATTCTCCTGGGGGTCCATTTCATAATGCTCGGCTGCCTTCGCTTGATGTCCGTGGCATTCCTTTTGCCTTTGAAAGGTGTTGATTTAATATGAAAAATGTAAAATGCTGACTGTAAAAACCTGACGGGCTCTTAAAAGATGGACTCTCTGAATTTCGATGAGAGAATCCGGGCCCCTGGGCGCAGAGCGGTTCAGAGGCGATGGGAGTGCGGGCGCGGTGAGGAGGAGAGGCTGGTGCTGCCGCGGAAACGTAACCACCCCCCCCTCTGGTTGCAGGTGGAAGTGAAGCCATACGTCCTGGATGACCAGCTGTGTGATGAGTGCCAGGGGGCCCGCTGCGGGGGCAAGTTCGCCCCGTTCTTCTGCGCCAACGTCACCTGTCTGCAGTATTACTGTGAATATTGCTGGGCCGCGATCCACTCCCGCGCTGGCAGGGAGTTCCACAAGCCGCTGGTGAAGGAGGGCGGGGACCGGCCCCGGCATATCTCATTCCGCTGGAACTAGACCTGCAGGCCCGGCACAGCGCCCTCTCCCGTCCTCTCTGCCCTCCGCCTCCTCACGCCGGCATGCCCTCTGTAGCAGTCTAACTAACAATAGCATAATGAAGCAGTGGCCTATCGTAGAGGTGTTCTGTAGATTCTTGTGTCACTGGAAACGATACGTGTGCACTCCTTTCTCCTCTCGCCATCCTGCCGCCCGGAGGTTTTCTTCTCCTGCTAGAGAGCAAGCAGATCCATCCTTCCCGCAGCATGTTCTCAGAGGAGAGAGAGAGTGAGAGAGAGAGAGAAATGAAATGATAGAGTATTTTGGGCTTTTAATTAAATTATTGTTAATAATATAACATATAAGAATACCTTTATTAAAATAACCATGCAACAATAACACTATTAGCCTATCCTGACACAGTTTGTCTCCCGGGAAACGCTTCTGCCTTTTTCTTTCTTTCTTTCCTTTCGTCTCGTTGCCTCTCTCTGTTTCCATCCCCTTTCTCTTCTCTCCCAGGCAGGGGAGGAAGTTAACAATCACTAACAGGAAATAGCATGCTAAAGCGAACACAGATGCATGAGCAAGACTGAAGCAGCCTCTCTCTCATTGCAAGGGGTCAGAGGCCGACTAATTTCATTCTGCCTCGGGGTCACTTCCACATCCGAAGCAGTCAAGTAGGCAGAACTGGGCTTCTTTTCTTTTCAACGATTGTGAACATGTAGAATGTAAAAATTGGGGAAATTGACTACTGCGGGGAGTGCACTTATTTATTCTTAAACTTATCTGGTCACAGCCCTGGGGAACCTACCAAAGCTAGCGTTAAGGACAACTGGTGGAAAAGTAGCATTTCTTCTCCCGAAGGACAAGTATCTGCATTTTATTTTCCATGTTCTATCTAAACTCCATTCTAATTTACGCACACTCATCAGGTGTCAGCCTTTGCTCTCCATTTTGACATTACCTCAAGGATGTCCTTTTGATTTTGTGTTCAAATACACTAGTAGCCAAAACTGGAAGACAAAATCGATACACTAATTGGCTGCTGATTGGCTTACTTTTCAATTTAAAGTTACTCTGGGTATCCTGTAATTTAGTTGTAACATAGAAAATGAAAAAAAAAAAAGTTTAAAAAAAAAAAAGTTGAGTAGTTGCAAAGTGTTCTGCACTGTTGAACTAAGTAACTGTGTAAATCTGCAAAGGTCCGTATGTTTATCTTCCTCTTCCTATAAAATAAAATACCGTTACAGTTTCAGAACTGAGCATGGGACATAGTCAGTGTTTGAAGTGCCAACTTCGTTGAGTAATGCATGCTTTATTATAAATAAGATCCTAGCTCGGAAAGGCATTCTTACGTGTGGACAGTATGCTTCAGGGGGGATTTAACGTAGTCTCTTGAAGCCCTGCTCTCGGAAGCAACTTTGATTTTAATTGACTTGATCTTATGAAATGCCCTAGCCACCATTAAAAGATTATCATCCGTGTGCAAACGTTTTAAAAAAAAACCACAAAAAACATAATGGCAATCTTGCTAGTTGTGCTTCCTAACAGTACCATCTCGGATCCTTCAAAACCAAAGACTTGCCCCACACTAGGGTGGAACCACCTGGCTGATGCCCCCTACCGATTGTCTCTAGGAAAAGCAGCCCTTCACTTTCACACAGGCTCCACAGGTCAGATGGAGGCATTTGCTGTCTGGTAGTCCAACACGGAGCGGGCGCTGCTCTCCGGGCCCCTGCGGGGGCTGGAGGCAGCCCCTGGGCGGAGGGTGCTCTCGTGCAGCTGGTCAGGGACTTTCTTTTCTCCTGAACTACATAATCCTGAGCGGAACGTTCATTTGCCTCTTTTTCTTCTTTTCCACGCCCGTAGGCGTCTTGGGGTGTGCTATTGTGCTGTTCCTACTCAGTCAACAGGTGTGATGAGTTAACAAGAAATAACACTGTTTGAGAACTAGCTTTGAATAATAATTTTTTCCCTTTGTACATGACCTGCTGAATTTCGGTACAGTGTTTTTGTAGCTAACTTATTTTGTCATGCACATAATGTATATTTGTTATGCACTACTTTTGTATATCTTGTTTTTCCAACAGTGAACATTTTTAGGCACACTTTTCACTGACGGGATATCTCTTTATGCAATACCTCAATTTTTCATATTGCAAAGAGTAGCTTTTTGTACTTTTATTACTGAGAGATCTTCATATACTTCATTTTTTAATATAAATAATTTTAATAAATTTTATTTTCTTATATTCTGCTTTTTATACATTTCAGTGCTCTGCATACATTTTGAATTATGGATGTTGTGCACTGGCAATGCTATTTTAGAGTCTGCAGAAAAGAGAAAGCATGTTGCTTAAACATCCTTCCCAGCACCAGCTGTTGGTGGACCTAGAATTTAAGAGATAGTCTATGTGAAGTCACAAATTAATGAAGAAAATCCGCATGAAAATGACAGATAACACTGTAGTTCCTAAAAAAGAAAAAAATTAAATGCATAAGCATAGGGTAGAAATTTAAAATGACAAAATTGTCTACAGCTTCTTACTAAGTTTTTAAAATTATTCATAACGCAGACATTTTTTTGGTGACCGTTTAGCCATTTTTAATATTAATAAATTGATGTTAAGTGTTTGATTCAGAGATGTCTGCTCTTTTAAATCATATATAAAGGAAAAAATCCAGCCTGCCGTGGGACAGGTGTGTAATGTTAGTATGCATGACTAAGGTAAGAAATCGCTATTCTACTAATATTTACTTGTGATTGTGTGACAAGTGTGTTTACAGATTATTTGGTTACACTTCAATTTACAGGGCATAAACAATTATTATCTATTACTCTGAACTTTATCGATTACATGTCCTTCAGATTACATGGGATTGTAGTTGGGAGTTACCATGTAACTCAAAACATAATTAACATGTAATTAGTTTACAGATTTTAGGGTATCACTTCAATTTACCAAGCATGTAGTTCTAGCGCACTAGCATGGCACCAGCCATGTACTTACAATGTAGTTACAGAGTAATTACATGGTTATTTTTGCAATGTAAAATAAAGTGTTTCTGATTATTTTCTATGTAAAGGAGCCTCTCCCGCCCCCTCCAGGTCCCCACGCTTTGGTATAATATATTACTTCTCCATACACAGACCTCTGCAGAATGCAAAGAAAACTTGCAGTGAGTGAATTTAGCATTTGATGAGAGTGCTGTTGGAAAGACTTGATAACTCACCCCTTTTGTTTTGAAGAGTTGAATCTTCTGTTAAAAGGTGATTTGAAACTTGAATGTGATGAATTGTGGCAAGTTAACTTCAAGTTATGTGCAATACTTATTTCAAACTTTTGAGAGATCTTTGCAGTGTAATTCTTTGTTTTTAATTGCAGACATTTAAAAATGTCATTTTCTACTGTTAAGAGTAATCCTCTTTCTTGTTGGTGTTTCTAAAGAAAAGAATCAGAAATCAATCTTTCTACTAATGTAAATTTGAGATTATTTTTAAAAATGGAATAAAAGAGGTTTTGGTCATTTGCTTTATTTTATTATCTTATTTTAAAGCTACTGTGACTGATAGCATTGTAAGAATTGGGACAATATTGTATTCAACTGTTTTATTTTTTATATTTTTAAAAATTTAAAGTATAATTAGTTTTTATAATTTTCATCAGATTTTTGTTATATTTTTTGGAAGTGAAACTTTTAGCAAGTGGGTGTCTAGTTTTTACTAATCCCTAATGTTTTTTCCCCCCCAGTGTATTGCTCATATTATCAGAAGGAAAAGTTATTTAAGTATGTCAGTTAATTGTACTACTTGGCTGAATTTCCATATAGTTTTTACTGTGTATGGGGAGGTTGTAGTATTTATTATAGCATTTTAAATAAGGGTAATTCATTTTTTATTAAAGTCATTTTCACGTTAAGTTCCTATTTTTGTATGTTCTACTCTTAAGTTATATAACACAGTTCCTTTTTAAAAAGAGTTCATTTGTTGAAGTGCTAGTGGAAAAATTAATGTTATTAAATAGTTTGCAAATGACTATTTATACCAGTATGCATATAATTTTTAAATATTTGTAATGTGAGATGTTGAATGAATAAAACTTTTAACTCAGCTTTCTTTTAATATACTTATTTATTTTCAACCTAAGTAGGTTATGCTTCCATGGTTGGGAAGATAACGTTTTATAAATATTAAGAATATATTTATTCCTGGGCCATGACAGATGCCGGTCAGGAACGATGCCTGGTCACGTGAGCACTGCTGGTGAGCTCGCACAGCCACGTGGGCCCATGAGCATCAGTTCCCATGCTGCCCCGCACAGGTCTTCTCATCAGGAGTCTGGAGTATGTTTTGAGGCCTCAGCCCAGGATCTGCTTCAGGCCAGCTGTCCAGTAAGAGTGAGGGAGCAGGTGTTTGAGGGGAGGTCAGTGTGGGGAGGTGGATGGAGAATCTGGATCTCCGCCGAGCTCCCAGCGGCCCCTGGTGAACGCCTCCCTGGACTTCCAGTTCCTCCCGGGTCCTAAGGTCACAGGTGTGGCCTCGAGGAGTCTCTCTCTGTGCCACGGGAGTTGAAAGCCTGGTCTTTGTTGTGGTTCAGTCATTGTGGGCTGCAGAGTGCTGTGCTGTGTCAGCATTTCTGTGTGGCACTGCATTTTCACACTTCCACCAGAAAGCACCACACCGGGAAATTGGGCCCCGTTTTGCCAGATTTAACTTGTTAAATCTTGAACCTCAAGAGTGTTCCTGAGGCCAGAAGGAACAGCCGTTGTCCTGAGACAAACGCACTTCGAGGTCTTCTGCTTCTAAAGTGTCTTTCCCAACGTGCACCTCTGCCCGCTCCAGGCTTCCTGAGGGCTGAGCCAGCAGGGCCGAGGCTCCCCAGGGGACCAGGTCGCAGCGGGCAATAGCCAAAACGTACCTGTCAGTAGCAAAGCCGAGGCTCAAGTTCAGCGGAGGCCTCATCATTTACATCCCTTCCCTCCTGCGACACTTTGCTTTTGCAAACGTGCCCCAGCACACACACACACACACACACACACACACACACCGCCCCATGCACTTCAAACCAGCTCTAAGAATGCAGGAAGGGACATCGGTGCACTGCTGCGAACTCTCCAGGGGAACCAGATCCGCCTCCTCCTGGAGGACACGTGGCTTATTGGGATATTTTAGGTTTGACTCTTTCTAGTCAAACTGGTGTCATTGTTGGCCGGCTGGGGGAGAAGTGCTCGGCGTGACTCAGCGGGTGACGGGTCGGAAAAGTACAGTTTGTCTCAAGTTTAACGTGAACAGCAGCGTCCAAATTCAGGGTGTGCAGCCCACCTGTGTTTTCTATGCAGATAATCCCGCTCCCTGTCAACGAAACCCGTGGCGGGGGAGGCGGGGGCGGAGAGGGCGGATCGGTGAGAAGAATGGGTTTTATTTCGCTCAGCAGGGCTGTGCCACCGTAAAAATGTCAACGTGATCAAGCAAATGTCACCGTTTTAAAGAGGTTATTTTCAACTCTGCCACCCCCTTCCAACACCGAGAGGGAGAAGAAAAAAACATACCCCAGAGCGACCGCCTCAAACCAGCCAGAGACCCGAGGCATCGAACACTCCTTCTAAAATGAGCTGCTCAGGGAGAGCGCGGCACCTGGGGTGTGGAAGCACTGAGAGGTCTCAGGCAGGACCCTGGGGGACCTGCGGCGGCTCATTGGGGTGTTGGAGGCGTGATTCCGCTGTATTTGGGGAAATGGAGCCGCCCTGTGTGTTTAGCTCAGGTGAGAGTTCGGCCTGCTGCAGGCGGTGGGGTGGCCCAGGGGTCAGGTCCTCGGCGTTCCTGATTCTGCAATGACAGGGTGCTTTGGTTCTGCAAGAGGAGACATCCTGGCTGATCCTGGTGCCGCGGGCACTTGCATCCGTGCATTTGCACGGTTATACCCCATAAGGGACAGCGAGTCCTCACTAACCTCGTCATAGGGTCCCTGACTCTGAGCAGAACAAGGTCTAAGGCCCCGCCTTTACCACGGGCTCGCTGACATGAGCACTAAGTTCCTGCGGGTCTCGTCAATGTGATAACGAAACATCGAATGAAACGATGGTGAGGACCTGCCATGCTGGACAGAGGGCAGAACTGTCGGAGGGAGCAGCCTCGGAAGGAACACAGCGGGGATGGGGTGAGGACTGGAGTTCGCACAAACATATGGTCGTTATGACAGCCACTAGATTGTCAGGAGAGTGAGACGTGCTTTGGTTCTGGAAGAGGAAACATACTGGCCTACTGACCAAAGTCACATGGGTGCCAAGAAAGAATGTCTGGACAGGTGGAAGGATGGACAGGTGGCTGGGTGGATAGTTGAATGAATGGAGCAGGGATGGAGGCAGGGGTAGATGGGTGGAGGCAGGGATGGATGGGTGGATAGATGGACAGGTAGAAGGTGGATGGATGGACAGATGGGTGAATGGATGGGTGGATGGAGGCAGGAATGGATGGGGATGGGTGGGTGGGTGAATATGTGGATGGGTGGGTGGATGGAGGCAGGGATGGATGGGGATGGGTGGGTGGATGGAGGCAGGGATGGATGGGGATGGGTGGGTGGGTGGGTGGGTGTATACGTGGATGGGTGGGTGGATGGAGGCAGGGATGGATGTGGATGGGTGGGTGGTGGGTGAATATGTGAATGCGTGGGTGGATGGAGGCAGGGATGGATGGGGATGGGTGGGTGGGTGTATATGTGGATGGGTGGGTGGATGGAGGCAGGGATGGATGGGGATGGGTGGGTGGGTGGGTGTATATGTGGATGGGTAGGTGGATGGAGGCAGGGATGGATGGGGATGGGTGGGTGGTGGGTGAATATGTGGATGGGTGGGTGGATGGAGGCAGGGATGGATGGGGATGGGTGGGTGGTGGGTGAATATGTGGATGGGTGGGTGGATGGAGGCAGGGATGGATGGGGGTGGGTGAATGGATGGGTGGATAGTTAGGCAGGCAGACAGATTTAGATACATCTATACATATATTCACTGGGTTTTTCTTAGATTCAAGGAAAACCCCACCAGGGAGGAAGGGTTTTGCTTCTTTCTATAGAACCATAGTTAAACAACACGTTCTGTGCAGAAATCAAGCCTCTTCTCACGCATCTCATCCTTCACGCCTCTGCACACGCCCTGCGACCTCAGAAAACCAGCCTTGCCGGGCAGAGGGGCCGGAGAGCCCCTGCTGGTGTGCCCGGTGAGCTGGGACGCGGTGTGTGGACCTTGGCCTCTGGCCCGAGGTGTCGGGGTCACTGGACCAGAGCCCTGCAGCGGACCCGTGGGCCCGGTTACTCCTGTGCTTATGTTTAAAGGGAAAGGAGAAGGCTGCCGTTCTTAGGCACCAGAGCCGCGGACGGCGCCCCGGCCACTGCCGCAGCACAGCAGCTGCTCCCCACAGACGCTAGGGAGCCGGAGCCGGAGAACCAGCGGGGACGTAGGAGCAGAGAGTCGCAGCAGCGCGCCCTTCCAAGGGAGACACGGAGGCCACAGCCCCACCGAGACACCGGCAACTTGTTCTCTGCCACCGAGGAATCCAGATCTGACAGAGACCACGCGTGAAATCCCAAAACTGGAGGGGACGCGAATGGGATTCAGATTTAGTCACCTCTAGGGGAGGGAGATGGGCAGGGAAGGACGGGGTTCCGGGGGAGAGAGGGAAGTAGAATTCAATTATCAAATGCAATTTTGACTTCAGAAGCCTCCCTGTACACACACACACACACACACGGCCCCATAACCAGGACACAGCCTTTGACACGTCACCTCACAAGCTTTGCAGTGACCCAGCGGTCCCCATAAGGGAGGAAACATGGGCTCTTCCTTGGCTTTGCTGATACTTGGTCTATATTCTAAGTGTTCCCTTTCGCTTACACAGTTACCTACAGTGGGTGGCGCCTCTAAGCTGATGGTCGTCAGCGCCATGTCTAGCCCAGCGCTAGTCCTCAATGCCTGTCAGCTCTTACTGGGAGCTTCGTGGCTACTGTGCGGTTGCTATAGTTACTGTCCGTGCTCTCACAAAGCATGGGTCCCTATGCGTGGCTGGGGGCAGGAGTGGGCAGCAGGGTCCCTGAGCTGGAGGTGGGAGACAGGCACCTTCTGTGCTGCTCTCTCACGTGGCATTTTTCTCCGCTGATGCTCGCCATGCCCACCCGATCCAGCCTGCATGCGTTACCATGGTGACCGAGAAAGCCGGGAGGCTCAGCCCAGTGCCCGCTGCTCTGTTCTCGCCATCTTTCTCTCCGTCTTAGGAGCAGCGAGTCTCCATGGTGCCTGCTACCCAAGTGGGCACCACCTCCCGGGGACTGGTTTTTTGAGGTTTTTGGAAGAGAATCTTTCTCCTTAGGAAAGAAGCAAGAACTGAGGGATGGAAGTTGGACATTAGGCCTCGGCTGACAGCTCAATTATGCTGCCGTCCAGGAAGTAGACCATTCATTGTCCCCCTTTGCCCTTATAAGCAGCAAACATCTGCAGAGGCGGAGCAGGGCACGGTGGGCCTGGATAGCAGAAGTGGGTGCTTGTAGTTAAGCAGAGTTGGGCTCGTACCCCAAACCAACCACAGGGGTCACTGGGGTTAGGGACTTGGCTCTGGGGTAAGACGCCCAGGTGTCTGGCCCTGAGCCACACCTGACCCCAGGACTTGGACCATGCTAGGTGACCTCTGAGCCTCAGCTGTCTCTTCAGCCGGAAGGGGTGGGCAATAATCTCTCCGCCCTCAGGCTGAGGGAAGGGTCGAGTGAGGCTAAAATCACTGAAACAACGACCCTCAGAGACGCCCATGCTCTTTGCCACGACGGCCCCAGATCTGGCCATTGGGGCGATGGCTTCAGGAGGCGCAAGTGGCGGGCACAGCAGGGACCCGGGGCGGGTCAGAGATGAGCCCAGAGAGGCCCAGGGACCAGGGTAGAGACTGTGGGTCTTTTTAAAAGTAAGATGGAGAGCACTGAAGAGGAGCTGCGGGGAGGGGCATGAGTTGGTTTGGGGTCACCGTGGACACTGGAGACCAGCTCCTGGGGGCACATGAGTGGGGCAGGAGGGCCACTGAGAGGCAATGGCGATGGCGATGGCGGTGGTCTGGAGGACGGTGATGCCGGTGGAG